TACACCAATTATACGCCGGGTAGAAACCGAAGCGAGTAAATTGTGGGAAGGCAAACCCCCAGCAATGGGCTTTGCGCTGGGCTTGGAGCTACACAAATAAAATCGAATTCCTATGAAAAGTAAAACTGAACCTTGGAGTAGACCTCCATCTGTGATGATGAAATGTGAAAATCTGGAATGCACTTGGAATGTATGCATTCTTAACAACGAAGGTGCCTCTACTCGGCTGGTTGATGTCCTCGGTAAGAAAAAGAAACGCGCTGAACTGGACCAGATAGGAAAGTGCAGGATATTGCGACGTTTACGACAGCTGACCTCTAGAGGAGCGTAATTTGGTGTCAACTTTGCGGTGTGAGAGAGACTCCATTACCGAGTACTCTGAATGAGTTTCGAAATGGAAAAGAAGGGCGAGGCGGCTAAAGACCTGTTTTGTGAGCGCTGCTCCCGTCACGATAAAAAAAATCGTGGGATACAGCAAATACGGCGACTTAGTAACCGACGTTCTGAGCGTCTTTTAATTATGGGGGTACAAAGAACTTTCCGGGTATCCTTGGTGATTTAATTTTTGTGATTTTCGGGATATTCTTTGCCATCGTCCTAGATTTTTCAGTATTTTTCGGGAACTTTAAGATCAAAAGGTATGATTTACGACTTTCCATCACCCTTTGTCAATTTAAATTTGGAGACGAGCCGGCGTCGACGTTGTGCCACCTTGAGTCTCGTTTAATGTGAGAGCGTAATGACCGGGTAGGCGTATTATGTATTTTTGAATGATTTTCCGTCATCTGTTGTCAAATTTGGTTTGAAGACCAACCGGTTCCGGCGTTCTCAGACGAGAAATGACACTGCAGATGACACAATGCGAAACCGGTTTGTGTGCAGGTCAAATTTAAAAAACCGCAAAAAAAACACAAAAAGTCACAACATTCGGTTGACCTCTGGTCAGAAAATATCAGGCAACTATTGCTTTATTCTTTTGTTGTAAATAAAAGAAAAAAATGCGGTATTCACTAAAATTAACTAACTGCTTTTTAGTGCAAAATGCTTCCGGGTACAGCCTCTGCATCAAAGCATTGTAACTAACTAAACAAAACTAAAGGCATTATATCCTGCCCTGACATTTAAAAGGAATTCAAGTTTTGTATTTATGTAAAAAAAATTTTTTTTTTTTATTTGTCATCATTCTTTACTGTGCTTACAAGTTTTTCCAATCAAAGAAATTTATCTGGCTCAAAAAAAGTTTATTTCACTTTTTCAACTTTTTGCGTGCAAGTTCGCGCTCTTCACTAATTTTATTAGTTCTATCTTTAATTTCCTCGTAGTTTTACTATTTGCTCTTTAACCTCGCATTTTTTGTGTTTTTCTCTGCTTTTTGCAGTAATTGTTTTGCTGCTAAGTAATTTTTTCCGTTTCCACATTGTTTTCTTTACTAACTTTTTCTTAAATTTTTTTCTTTATTTTTCTGTTAAACTTTTTTTCGTTTATTCTGCTTTTGATTGTATTCTGCTCATTGCCGCTTGTTTTTGGGTTTTTAATTTATTGCACAATTCCCTCTTAGTTAGTAACCCTTCTGGCTACCGTTCTTTGTCATTCTATAAACATTTCTCTTCTGTACCTAACCGCGTTGCTGAGCAGCTCTGATACATACATACATACGTATTTATGTAGAGGAGCGAGGGTAATAATAGGACTACGAAGAAAATGGCATACCAGCAATTGTGGTTGAACAATCGGACTTCATTACGCTTGACATTAAATTTTGTGGTTGACCATTTATAGTTATCTACTGACCAACCGCCACACAGACTAGGCGCACTCGCTTTACTACTCCCTTCACTGCTGGCCGGTCAGAGCTAGCGCACGAATGATGAAGAAATGCACTGTACGAGTAACTGTAAAAACAGTTAGTGCAATTAGTTATTGTGCTGCGTCAGCAATGTTTGCGTTTGAAGTTCAAAATGTGTTGGGAAAACCTGGTACGCTTCACTGGAGGCGCACGCTGATTGTTGCGAAGCAATTAAGCTAATGAAACCGTTAATGTTGTGGCAAATATTAAACATACAACAGAGGAGAAAAGTGCGCTAGTTGTTCTTTCGCTTTCGCTTTTCTTTTCTATGGCTTCCTGTACCTTTCTAAAATAATATGCATACAAATAATCATACATATAGTACTATACTAGGATTTATTTGATCCATTTATGTATGTATGTACATTAGACAGCATCACCAAAAAAAGTTGCGGTTTTTCTGCCGGGATTACAAAATGTATTAATTTTAAAACGTCCACCAAAATATTTCGGAAAAATATTAAGATTTAAGCGAGCAGGACCGATTTTAAAATACCTACAAAAATGGAGTTTTTTTATGAATAAAAATAGTTTCTTAAAGAACTTTTTGCAAAAAGTCCCCTCAGGTGACAAAATAGATTAGGCTTAAAAATTCTGCATTTACAAATATTTAAAAATCTTTTCAACGGAATCGTAAGAATGAGATTTTTGATGCTGTTTTTTACTTTTTTCAAAGATTGTTTTTTTTTTTTCAAATACCAACACATCTTAATTCAACTTTGAATGATGTTCGTTCATCCTACCTTCCTCCTTCATCCGTTGAATGAGCTTATTAGCAATGAAATAAAAAGAGTGAGAAAATACCTTTCCACTGATACCTCACAAGTCTAAATCGGAAGAGTTTAGGTGCAGTTTTTTAAGTTTCTCTTAGACCAATCTTTGAAAAAATTTTAAAAACAGCATCAAAAATCTCATTATTACGATTCTGTTAAGTTTTTTTTATTTATTTATTTTTAATGTTTTTATGTAAATTTTTTAAACTTAAACCGTTTTGTCATTTGAAGGGATTTTTTCAAGCAACATCTTCAAGAATCTATTTATATTAATTTTTGGAGGTACTTTCAAATCGGTCCAGCTCGCTGAAGTCTTAATATTTTTCCGAAACATTTTGGTGGACGTCTTAAAATATAATAGATTTTATAATTCCAATAGAAAAACAGTACCGATTTTTTTTTTGTATGGGGAGTGATGTAGTCTAATGTATATGCATACCAGTGAACTGCAATTATTCGTATTTTTACAAGATTTTTCAAGTCATTGGTGGACTCACACTGGAAGGGTAAGTAATCCTTTAGCATTTTCTTGTTTTGGTGGGAATTATTCAAAGTAATTTTTATAATTGGTATGAGTAATCATTTGCAACAATTTGACTATTTTATGACTATGTAACGATTAAGTACACCAATTTTATTAGTACTCAGTGCATATCTCTATTTTTATTTTTTTAAATTTTATCAGTTATCTTATGAAAGTAAATTTTTTACAAGGTAATTATAAGGTATTTAAAGCTATGGCAACTAGTTAGGCCTTAAGCTTCTTAGTCTACATATCGAGCCCTAACCGCCAAAATAACGTAAGGGACATTTTTTTCAAAATTTTCTTTTTGATGCAGAAATGCATCTAGATGCTCTAGGAATATTGTACAATGTTTTAGAGAAAAAATGGAATTTTAAAATGTAAGACAAGGGATACTTATGTGAACACAATTATTTGGACTATATTTGGTGGTATAAATTGGTGCATTTTACGAATTTGGTTATAAGGTGAATCGAAATTTCGACGGGAAGTGATAAACAGGACGTGGGGTTTAGGTTACCAAAGATTTGGTTTCCAGGGGAAGAGTATTTTGTGTGATTGTTTTGTTTGGCATGCAAGGGCAAGGTGTCCATGCGTCTCTTTTGAATGCCCTATCCGGAGTCGTTCAAATTTCATGACGTCTAGTCTGGTTATTTTGTTGTTGTTTTCCGTTAGGGAGTCTTTTTCTTGTATTATTTTGTGATTAATTTGTTTGTACCATTCACTGGCTTGGTTTAATTTTGTTTGCTGTTTTCCGTTGAAGTGTTTGTTAATATGTATACATATTTTTTATGTCGGACCAGTTATAGTTTTCTGTTGTTATTAATGGGGATTGGTGTGCTTGCATGATCTGCAAATTCATTTCAATCTACGAGTATATTAACGTAGCCAGGTACCCAGAGTAAGATTATTTACCCCCAATAAAAATATGCATAAAATGAAACGAAGCGCAGAAAGGCGTTTAAACCTAGTCGACGGCGAAGAAAGGCTCGTAAACCTATTTCACGGCGAAGAAAGACGCGTTAACTTATTTTCGCGGTCAACTATGTTTGCGGATGTACGTACATTCCCCAAAGGGTTTTGAGCAATAATGCTGAAGTGACAGTCCTTGGCTAGGTATAAATCTATGTTAACGCCTCGTTCTTCGCCGTAAACTAGGTTTACGCGTCGTTTTTCGCCGAAGTTTTTCTTTTTTAAGAGTCTTTTTTCGTCAGTGCGTCTTTTTTCGCCGTCGAAACAATGGCGCGCCTTTTTTGACGTGTTGAGTGACGATATTCCATATCGAAGAAAGGTTTTTGTTATAAGAAGGTCTAAGCAGCGTGACTAGATGATGTAGTTCAAATTATATGCCCCTAAACCTTAAAAAATGTAAAGTTATGCGTTTCTCTCGAAGGAAGAAAACTATCCTTTCCTCTCAATAATTCAAATACTTTCTTCAGCATATCCAATCAGCTGGTGAATTTGATTCTGTAGCTGAATAGTCTTAGATCTCGACATTTAACAAAATCACGTTTTCCAAGACTCGGCACAAAAAAAAAAAAATAAGGAAAATGATTTAGCAACAAGAGTTTACGGAATGTACATAGCTCAGTGGTTAACGCTTCTGACTTTGAACATTGATTACGCAGGTTCGATCCCTGCTGAAGTCTAGAAAAAAGAAGTCTGATGAAGAGATGTGGTGATCTCCGAAATAGTGCTATAACTTCTACCGCTAACCACTGGGATTATTTAATTAAATTATAAATTCAAATAAAGAATTTTACAAGTTTGTGTGTACATACGTGCGTGTGTGTGTGTTTAAATACATAGACGCCATTGAAGCTTAAAATACAGTAATTTTGTTTTAATTGCTACTCACCTGATTATTGTTGCCAGTCACATCGGCTGGTCGTGGCCGTCGCCTGTGTATGCGTTTACGTGCCGTTTGATAGATTTTCCAATAAAGTACCAATATGACGAGCAGCGGCACGTAAAACGTGCAACATGTGGCAAAGACCTGAAAATGACATAAAGAATGTAATTAAATTTTTGTATGTTATTAATATTATGAAGTTAAAAGATGTTGGCCTAGCGATGTATGTAAACACGAAAAAGTTCCTCCCGGCGACAAACAAATAGTATTCGCTTGCGAGAAAATTAATCTCGGGAAGATACATATGTATACGGTTGGTTGCCGGAAAAGATGAAATGATCAACAGTACGAGCCTTGTATTGATGAAATTAATTTTTTTATTGAAACATTTGGTCCAAGTTTTCACCAGTAATTCATGTTCACGTTTGGTTTTGTGGTCGACAGAAGGCATATCCTCCATTGCCGTCTTAAATAACCTGACGAAAGCGTTATACCAGGACGAAGTCCTTGCGGCTCGATAGTGAATCGTCCTTGAATCTGTATTGTATAGTTGGTGGCAATTTCTAAAATGGTGAGTATCATTGGACCACTTTCTCTTTTGTCACCGTAAAGCAAGGACCGCAATTGTTCTGATGGTTGATTTAACGGGAGTAATTTGACTTTGATCCCTGGTGCCTCCGAATCGACAATTTTTAGCAATAACTCGGCTCCAGCGCCACTAAAAATCATCATTAAAATCGGTTCGGTCGTTTAGGAGGAGTCAGGCCACCACAGTAAGTATTTTACATACTGACACTCTTCGGATTTTTTCCTATAAAAAAAACTCTCACGCATTCATTATACGGAAAAAATGCGCAACATCATCAGCGAAAAAAAGTATCAAAAATCAACGGTATCTTATAGACATTTAAAACTTGCACTTTATGATATTGAAATTGAGTGGACTACCAAACTACATACTAAAAATTTGGTACCATTTGATGCTAAATGAACTATATTTCTATAAAATATTGACAAAAAATGTATTATGAAAAAGAAAAAAACACTGTATTCTGGGTGTATATATATTTACAAATAGGTAAAAGTTTCAATATGTTTGGAAAGCGCCACGTCCCTTTTTCTAGTAGCCCCAAAATCTTTATACCAATTTCCAGGACACTACCACAAATACTTTCAGAGATATACCTACGGTATGAAAAATTCGTTATGTATGGGTGATGCCACGCTCCCTTTAAAATTCGGTACAGCCGTTCGCGAGATCACCTCTTATAAAAAGAAGGAGCTGCTCTTTACATAATTAATGTAGGTAACACAGGGCAACACTGATTTTGATGCGGCAAATGTTGAAGTTGGTTTTGATAGGATTTTTTGTGCTGATTAAGAATACATATGTATAAAGTTTCCATCAGCTCCAGATTTTAAGAAAAATATGGTGAAAGTGTCAAAAATCGCGTTTTTTGCAATATTTGAGAACGTCTAGCAATGAAACAAAAGGTGATAGAACCTTCAACTTAGGCTTAAATTAAGGCTTGGACTTCTGTCTTCAATGCCTGAATATACCATTCCTGCACCTTGATCTAAGTTTACCTATAGTCATTTATTGAACTGCTAACACTGGGTGACTATTAGAGCAAGGTGCAGGAATAGTACTTTCAGGGATGGTAGTCTGTAGTTCTAGCTTTAATTTAAGCCTACGTGGAAGGATTGTCACCTTTTGCTTAATTGCGGTAGGAACTCAAACTTCCCAAAATCAGTTATTCCTGTTCAACAAATGACTATAAGTGACCTTCAAGCAAAGGTGCGGGAACTTGCAAGAATAGTATTAGAGATTTTTAGCTTTAATCAAAGCCTAAGTGGAAGGTTCTACGACTCTTTGTTTCTTTGCTAGAGCTTCTCAAATATTGAAAAAACGCAATTTTTGACACCTTGAACTCGTTTTTCTTAAAATCTTTTTTTCCCATTTTTGTTGGCCTGTGTAATAAGTATTGTTAAATAGCCAATACCCGCATGTTTGCGCCGCCTTCAAACACCTTTCAAACTGTAAAACAATGACTCGATTCTATTCTACGCATATCTATAATGCGGGTATCGAATTCCAAGCAAATCGGACCATAAATAAGATTTTTTGGAATTGATCGGTATCTGGTCCACCTGTCAGAAAAAACATCCTATATGTTAACCCAGGCAATAAGCTAGCTACGTGCCAAATTTCAAGGAAATAAATCAGACTTTTTCGAATAGATCGGTCTCCGGCCCGGAAAAAAGGAAACCTATATGCTAATATAGGAAAAGGCTACCAACGAACCAAATGAATTTTGTTTAGTGTAGCTCGACCCCTGCGCCACCTATCAGAAAACTTAAAATTTTGTGCACTCCTTGTTCTAAACACCTTTCCAAAAAAGCAGCACCCATTCGAATCGGTTATGAAACATAGGAGAAAATTGTTCCCAACTGATTCATGCTCACAATGAATTTCACAATTATACGAAATTTTCCAAGCTTTTGTAAAAAAAAATCAAAATTTTTAGCGTTCTTCTGGATTTTTCCGAGTTTTGCACCTAGAATTTTCTAGAATTTCAAATCAAATCAATTCAATTTCAAAATCAATTTTCGATTTTTCCAATTTTCCGACTTTCCCGGAGGGTTTTCCCAAAATTTTCTTTCGCAACATCCTTCTCCTGGCAATTATGAACAACTAAAGAAAATTTTAGCCAAATCGGCCCAACCGTTCTCAATTCATGAATTACTATACATTTTTCACACCATTTTTATATACATATATAGATAAGGAACAGCTGTTCGTAAACGGCGGTTTCCGACTGAATTTCAGTTTTTCTGCTAAAATATACATACATATGTATCTTTTCCAGTCATAAATATATCGATGGTCCTCTTCAATAACGACACAATTCAAAAAATAAAAACTCGTATTATTGTTAATTGGCTCATGTCTTTAATCGTTGCCTTATTCATGTATAATCAATACTTTAGTTAGGATTAGACATGGGTTAGCCAAGGATTAGAGACATGATCCGGTTAACAGTAATAAGGGAGTTGATTTTTTGAATTTTGAGTTGTGTCGTTATTGCAGAGGACCATGGATATGTGAATTCATATATTTCGATAATGAAATAAATTCGAGCATAAATACGATTTTTAGTTACATATACATATAAAACTCAATTTCAGCGCCACCTGGCAGAAATTTTTTTTCAAAAGAAATATTTTTCCTGTTATCAATACATATTTTAAATATGAGGATAATCGGACCATAAACACGATTTTTAGTATAATAACTCGACTCCAACGCAACCTAGCGGCTCTTTTTTTTGCAATGGTATTGTTTTTCCTATTGTCAATACATATCTCAAATATAGGGCGAATCGGACCATCAATACGGGTTTTACTAATAACTCGACTTCAGCGCCACCTAGCGGTTGTTTTAATAGTTATTCTGCTATTCGGAAGGTAGACAATTTCAAGAAACAAATATCATAAAAATCGGTCCAGCCGTTCTTGACTTATAAATGGTGTAACTAACACGACTTTGTTTTATATATATAGATTATCGTTTAAAAATGTTCGTATTTAAAAATAATATTTTCATACAAAATTTATTACGCACGTATTTGACTGTTCACATCTCAGTATGCATATGTAAGTGTAATACGCAACCCATGCATGCAGAGCGCCGCTCTGAGAGCGGTGACAACACACACACACATACATACATAGTACATACATGTTTATCCGTACAAATCGCGTGCTGGGGTGTTGATGGATATTCAACATTTGAAGGCAAATTTATATGGCTGGGTGTAGCTGAGTGCGCAAAGATGCTTGCCACAAGTTGTTGATATCCGGAGATGGTCGGGTTCGAATTCCACGGCAGGCCACATGCAAATTAAATTTTTTTTTTTAGTTTTTGTCTTGACTATTCACTTCACGAATGCTTTTTCAGTACGAACGCGGTCATTTTAATATGCGCGTAATTGAATTGAATATTTACCAATATACAGTACTTTCGTTGACGTTTATAGTAAGATCAATTACGTTTCTTTTTGATTTTAATATTTTTTTCCCTCAGTGTAGGTAAAAAAAGGTGAAAAGCAAAATAGAAGGTTTTGCGCTCCAGCCAGACGCAAAGCTCCAAAGCTCTCTCGGCGCTTCTCGCGACAATCTCCAGTCTAGCTGATATGATACCTGCCAAAATTCGGACACTTCAATTTTAAAAATAAATTTGATTCGAGACTACCTAATTAAAAAGCCGCAAGCTCGATTTTCGAGAAGATAAATTAATTTTTTTATTTGGTTGATCAATCAAATAAAAAATAAATTTACTTTCTTATTCGTCGACGAATTTAATCACAAATCAAATAGAAATATTCTGCGAAACAGTATTGCTAACGAGCTACAAGCTACTTAATCCCTGAACGAGGAAGGCAGCTAATCTTTGGTCAGTCAATTCAACGTGTTCAAAATGCTTGAAAGCAAACTATATTTAAATGAACCATAGCTCAAATCTGTTTTCATTGAACAAGACAACCAAAGGTGGCTCCATTAGCTCTGCGGTTGATTTTAAGAGCCGACACTGTTCAACGGTAACGGTATGTGGTAAAGGTCATCGAACACTTTACATCGAAAAAAATACGACAACGTAATCAGAAATATCTTTTTGAAGTGGAGCTTCGACGGAAATGGCACACGGAAATGGTACAACGGAAATGATGCAACGGAAATGGTGCAACAGAAATGGTTGGGTCTGAAACAAGTGCTCTGTGAGTTGCTGCACATAGTATTAATATAACAAAAACTTGATAATAAAAGGTTAAAGAATAACACTTGAGAAAAGACCAATACAAGAATGAAAGTAAAGGTGATTACGTACATACATAGATAAAGAAAAGGATAAAGGCAAAGGTAAAAATAAAAACCAAAACAAATATGCGTAAAGATAAAGGCAAAAATGAAGACCAAGGTAAATTTAAACACTTTGCTTACATATATAGGGACAAAAGTGAAGGGGAATATGTAGATGAAGAAAATGATACACATAAAAGAAAAAACAAAGATAAATATAATGAAAAATATGAAGATGATGATGAGGATACCGATAAAAGTAAAGATGAAGATAGAGGAAGAAATATTAAAATAAAGGTAATTATAGAGAAAACGATATAGATAGAGACTCAGAGACTCACTCTGGGACCTATTTTGGGATTTTAAAGATTTTTGGGATACTCGTGACTTATAGCTATAATCGATATTTTTATCGGTTTGGTTATTGATATTTTTTTATTGATTTTATTATCGAAATTTGTATCGATATTATTATCGATTTTGCTATCGATATTTTTGTCGAATTTTTTAGTTTAGTTATGGATTTTGTTATAGATTACCTATCGATTTTGTTGTCGATTATTATCGATATTTTTTCGATTTCCTAAACGATGTTTCTTGTCAATTTTGTTATCTATGATCTGTAGATTTTGTTATCGATATCTTTATCGATTTTTTTTTATCGGTTTTCGAAGCGATTTTGCTACCAATATTATTGTCGAATGTGCTATAGATATTTTTATCGAATTTGTCATCGATTTTGTCATTGATTTTTTATCGATTTTAATATGGATTTCGTTATCAATTGTTTATAAATTTTATAATCGATTATTTATCGATTTTGGTATCGATTTTGTTATCGATTCTTTATCGATTTTGTTATCGACATTTTCATCGATTTTCTGATCGATTTTTATTATCGATATTTTTATCGATTTTGTTATCGATGTTTTTATCGATTTTGTTGTCGATATTTTTATCGATTTTGCTATAGATATTTTTATCGGTTTTGTTATCGATATTTTGTTGGATGTTACTATCGATTTTGTTATCGATAGAGTATAAAGATAAAGGAAAATAGAATAACAAAAATATAATTAGAACGAACAGAGGTAAAAGTAGGGATCTAGACAGAAAAAAGGCAAGAAATATAACCTTAAGCAAAATCAGATGTATGTATGTATGTACCCGTTTGTATACATGTATGTGGGTGTATTGATTATGAAACAAAATAGATATGTAACGTAAGTTTCACTTCTCCAGTGTGGCCCAGGAACATTTAATTTTTTTTGCAATTATCCTTGGTTATTCAAAGCCTTCTTCTTAACTGCGTACGGGCAAACAGTGTGATCCTCTACATTTGAAAGCAGGTTGGTACTAGTTAGGCCGGCCCTTAAAATATTCTATCAACGAAAAACCATAAAAGTGAAGAAAAACTCTAAATTAAAAAAAAAAAATCGTTACCAGGGTTTAACAAAATTTGATTTTTTTAAATCGCAAAAATTCGACAAAATTTTGACTTTGATCAGCTAGAACTAAGCGTATTGAACGCCATTTAAAAAAAGCCTGCTAGTAGGCACCTCTAACCACTCATCACTAAACAGTTTAAACTCACCTGATATGCAACATCCTGTGAAACCATGCATTTTTGTTGTTCTATACGCTGCAAGTAATCGGGATCCTTCCAGCCGAATTGTGGCGCTAACGACACTATAACTGCCGCCGACCAAACACAAAATATCATAAGAAAGACACGCTTACTTGTACGCGAGTGAATGTAGTCGATGTTAGTCACCGCCCAATATCTGAAAATAAAAATGGGGAATAGTTAAACTTTGTTTTTGCCTTGGGGAAAGAAGTCGTTGGATGCTTTTTTTATGTTATGTAAGTTAGTTACACTACATAGATAATGGCTAAAATTTTAGGGAAAGCTACACTGCAAACAAAAGCTGTATAAAATGTCCAGAATCGATTGCAAAAGTAATTACTTTCCACTTTCGCATACCAAACACTGTAAAAATGGCCAAGTGACATAAGTGTTGTGACGATCATTAAATTTAAATAAAAATTTTTAATCTGTAACAATTTTATACCGAGAAGGAGTAAAGAAAAAATGAGAACAAAACATAAATTTACATATGTAGGTACATATGCATGTGGTTTAATGCGCGTATGTAGAAAAAAACGTAAACAATTTGTAACATAAACATTTGCAACGATATAGAATCATGCCAAGCCAACATCCGCTGTTGACACTGAAGGCGACAAAAAAAGTAACAAAAAGAAAAAAATGCATGAATAAATGCAGAGAAACGCCTTTGTAGTATCACCGCCGGCAGCCATGATTGGCGACGGAGTGGTATGTAGTAGTTAGTAGTAACTGTGTACATCCGCAACGCGAATGCGCAACGTCGTTTTGTAAAGTGTTACCACTTTGGTATGCAGTTAGCATATCCGGCATTAAAAACTCATACAGCCAGTAAACACACACACGCACGCACACGCCCACCCACCCACGTTTTTGCACATGCTAACGCAGAGATTGTACTTATAAAAAATCGGCTTGCGTCAATGTTTTTACAATTTTTTTGTCGGTTACCAAATTTTTGTTTTCTCATTGTTTGCGAGAAAATCGCGTTGCCGCGCACACTTTTCTAAACCAATGTTTGAATTTGAGCCACAAAAAACAGGAGGAGGTAATTTAAAGGATATGCATATGTCTGTATAAACAGAAATGTTGTTGTTAATATTAGGGATGTTCTTTCTTTTCGATGTTTGGTTGTAGAAACGGAAATTACTTATTAAAAAAAAAACGTTTTCTGTTGTTATTGTTGTGTTTAGTTAAAGTGTAAGCAGAAAAAAAATGGCTGAGCGAATTTCGTCGGACGGAGCGCTGACAACAAAGGAGTAAAGATGAGTTCCCAAATTTAGACACTCTGCATGTCCCTGATAACACGGCTCAACAAAATTTTCTCATGGCAAAAATGGCAAATTAAAAAAAAAATTATATTAAGAATAACATTTGGACGTAGTTTTTATAAACACTGAAACTTAATTTTCGAAATTTACGGATAGTTATGGTGCTATAAAAATTTACGGGATTATCGAAATTTGTCAAGTTAAGGAAGCTGATCAAGTTAATCATCAATAAGAAAAATCTCGACGTGTTAGAAAAAATTGCAAGATGCATTTTAATTTAACACACATAGATATTAAAAAAATTAACAAAATTTTTTTAGGTCGAAAACAAAATTTAAATTTCGCAGGGTTGTGTTTTTTTTTTGCTAGCTCAAGGTCTACTAAAATAATTTCGAAATGGAAATAAATACGATAACTGAACGGCCATAACTCTTGCGCGTGTGCATGTATGTAAGATCTGGAGCAATCTATATATGCATGCATGTATGTACATACATATTTTTTATTTATTTTTTTATTTTGCGCCTGAATAATTTTCATGCAACATTCACATGTGTTTTTGTATGTACATACATATGTATGTATGTATGTAGACATTGTCTTTGCCACAGCCTGCAATAATTATTGCAACAACTATTACTTTCGATAGTTAGTTTTGCATGTGTTCCCAGTTACAATGCTGCTTGCTTGTTTTGTTATTTTTTTTTCGGCCGGATTTATAAATTTTTTTGTCGATTTTACAACGCTTTTTTTAACATTGTTTGTGAATTTTTGATTTTCATTAGTGCCACAATGCCGTACATTTATGAGTGTTTTGCAGTAAGCACTAATGTAAACAAACAAAAAAATAAATGAAATACGTTTTCTACGCCTCCAGCTAGACATTTCACTTTATGTGGGTCGGCGGAAATTGTAAGGGATGCGCTTTTGTTGTTTTGCCTTTGAACAAAAGGATTAAAAGGATTTTTTTTGCGTAAAAGTGAAGTATACGCAAGTTTTAAAAAATTGAAAAATGAAGCAGACATTAAACAGAAATTAAAAAAAATTTTTTAACTACTAAAGTGGGCTTAATATGTGGAGTTACTACATTTTATCCCTTAAGAAAAGTATTCCTTTCAAATCGCTGTCACTACAGCTTTAATATGCTTTCTTTTTTCCGAAGATAAAGACAATTTTTCTCAACAGCTGTTAAGTGAGAGAAGATATAATGGAAATATGTATTGGAAATAAATTCTGAAATAAATATATCAAATGTATTCTTTTTGGAGTGATAGTTTTTACAAGGAAATTCTGGTAACTGTCTTTCAACTCACCACAGTCTTTCGAAATACAAAAGCAAACCTAAGTTGAATCTTTTTTTTTTTTAATAAAATGAAATTAAATAGATACGTTTCTTTTATTTTTAAAACAATAAGATGCAAAAATTACATTAAAAAAAGAAAAAAAAAAATCAAAAACGAATAAATAGTACTTACAAATAAAATATACATAATTAAAAAAATAAATTCATTTTAAAAACAAAATCTAAAAATTGAAAGAAAATAAAAATACAAAAAAATTAGATACAAATTAAATGAAATTAAAAAAATGTATTTTTCATTTCATAACATGAAACAAAAACAAAAGAAAAACTAAATGAAGTACGTTTATAAATGTTGATTGCAATTAAAGAGAAAAAAAAACAAATCTAAAAATGAAACTAAAGAAAGAAAAAAATAATAATGTGAAAAAGAAGAAGAATAAAATAAGTTCCTAAAAATTAAATCGAATTAACAAAATATACTTCTTTTAAAAACAACATCTAAAACTAAAGGATAATTAAATTAAGAAAAAAACAATTTAATTAAAGGAGAAAAAACACAAACAAAAGCAAGCTTATAGAAATTAAATGAAACTAAACTATACTTTCTTAAAAAAACATTAAAATAAAAAAAAAATTCCGCTGCCCGAGGACTCGACTCGGAGCTCCCGGCCATTAAAACAGCTTTTCACCACAAATGGTGAATGAGAAAGCTGTTTTTCTAACAATTTTGTGCTAGAATAACAAAAGTCTTTCGAACTATTTTGCCATTTGTCTTTCATTTATCTCACAAAAGACTTTTTACTATCTTAGCCAGAATTGCCCTGCAAGAGCTTGAGTTTGATGAGAAGTGCAGTGCGTTTTGCGCAAAAGGTAGGCCACAGATTTCTGCTGACCTTACTGGATTGTAGATTTTCCACCTACTATTAGCCACCTTTTTTCCAGAAACTTAAGCATCTCCTCTGCCTCTGAGACATCCAGAGCCGACCCGTTCCTGGCTAGCTCGTCGGTCATCTCATTGCCATGAATTCATGTGTAGGTGGCAGCCCTCTTCAAAATTATTTTCAAGCCTTATCCTTGTTAACTTTCCTTCGCCGGACATTGCGATACATATTTTAATTAACTAATGAATCCCGCTAAATACAGTTAAGAAATAAAGAATTTTCAAACCCCATTCGGTTGATACCCATATTTTAAGAATTCTTTTAACTTATTAAATAATTTGAATTTAATTTTCTAAATAGGTGGGAAACCTCTTACAACCCCTCAAACATATTCTTAGCGGTAAAATTAAAGATTTCTTAACACTCCTTCGTTTGACATCCATTATTTGCTATTTCATATAACTTGTGTATAAGTAAGCTAAATTCGACATTCCAAGTAGGTGGCAACTCTCGTCAAAATATTTTCAAACTACTACATTCTGAAACCCGTTTCCCTTGGCACCCATATGGTACATATATTTCTCTTACTTAATATGATTTTTGAAACATGTGGTAACCCTCCATTAATTCAGCTAAGAAATAAAGCTTTTCAAAACCATTTCGATTGATACCCATTTTGTAATAATTGATTAATTTTTTTAAACGAATTGAATACATTTTTTTAAAAGGTGGCAACTCTTTTCAAAAAGGTAAAAGTCTTTTGCACATACAGTTCAAGTCTTTCGTCCTGGACAAGAAATCCCTCCGCGTATTATATATAAAGATTATTATGTGATGCTTACAGAGCCAAGAGCCTTGAGTGCATAAAGATTACAACAAAATATATTGAAAAATATTGGGTCATATGAAAAAACGCCGCGATTTTTTGGTAAATTAAAAAAAAAAATGAAAAATTCTTTATTGAAAGTAATTTTTAATCAATTGCATATTAGCTATTATCATATTATACCTTGTTTATACCGACACATATGGCGCTTTGACTCAGTTCGCAGTGTATTGACTCGTATTTGTTTTCAAATCCGTTGTGTTATGTGCGATGTGCAAAGAGAGCTTCTACTCTACACGCGCCTATACAAAATTTATAAATAGAAAGCTTAAAAAAGCTTTGCCCACGGTCCAGCCGCTGCCTATCACCGGTATAAACGCATCATTCATTTAACGCGAAGTCAAAATCGCCTGAGACAATATTAAAAATTCTACTAAAATTAAATAAAAAGCATTTTGATATTTATTTGCAGCTTTTAGCATCTAAATGAATTTAATTTTTCACATACATAGGAAAAATTGTCAAATTTTATAAATTTACATCGCGTGTTCGTGAGAAAATTTAATTGGATCGCGTACGTTGTTAAGCGTATGCCTTTCATTTGGCCATTTGCCAGGCAATTAGCATAAATCGAATGTAGCACACTTCGCCGCCATTGCTAATTTGTTGTGAGCGCCCAGCGAAACGCCCAGTTGATGTGGACATCAGTGCCCGCATGATATTTGGATAAATGTGTTGCACTTAGCGCACCTGTGTGCTCGTGCACGTGTGTATGTGGCTGCGCGATAATTGTTTAATAAGCACACTGACACGTGACAGTATCGTGTCGTTGCCTTGCGTTGCGTTGCACCCGGCTATTAAGTATGCAATTTTATT